AATGAAAATTCTTGGCTGAAGCCGAAGCCGAACAAAATGAAACACTGTGCCGAAGGCCGAATACCGAATACCAAACACGGGTTTTCACATTTGCCCCCTATTTTGCCATTGTTTTTTAAACCATTGCATTAAGTAAATTGCCAAAATGTGCTTTTTACTGTTTTGTCCTGCTTTTCAAATAAACAACAACAATTTAAAAAATATTTACTTAACACTGAACATTTTTTTTTCATTCTAGCAGACATTATACCAACAAAGCACAATTTAACTTAAAATTAATAAGCTGCTGAGCAGAAAAGACATTAGAATATATTACAGATGCCAATTTGAACACTATGTGTGAATGTTATAATAAATGTATTAATAGAGCTGTTGTAGGGTAATTATTATTATCATTATTATTGTCTTACTTTTTTATTTTATTTTACAGAACGACAGTAAAATTACAATACTATCATTTATGAATGTCGATGGAGTTGTTGCTTTTTCTCGGCTTTTATTTTGGCAGAAACCCGCAGAAAGAGCTTCTTATTGTTGATAACAGCATGCAGATTTATATATGATTCTCATTTCGAATTTGGGAAGATGTTTGTCGCACGTATCACATTGTCACATGCCTTTTAAAAAAAATTCACTAAAATGTTACTGAGCAACTGACGAGTAACAAGTTCAGCGCAGGTTTTCCTCGCGCTTTGGACTTTGAACCCTGACGCCGCAGCTCGTGCAGCGCTGTCAGAATACATGCAATTCGTGCGTGCATTAGAAAATATAACATTCTGCAGTTGATTTACTAATCGTTTAAAGGTCATTTTGCGATTTCAATCATCATACAGTAACCTAACCACCAGCATTAGCCACCTCTTCTTCTCATCGCAGACGTGATGCAGCACTAAACAGTCTCTCGCTGTCGGTGTTTCGTGCATGTAATGATTTCTGCGTCTTTCTCTGATAGTTTTAAATACGTTCACACTGCCGACATGCTTGCTGCATTAGTGCGTGCCTCTATTTGAATTATTCATTTTAGGCACATTTTTTCTTAAGGTGGGCCTTTAGCCCCGTTTTACACCATATATAGGGTACATATATATATATTTAGGGTACATATATATATATATATATATATATATATATATATATATATATATATATATAAATCATCATCAATTACATGCAGATCCAACCATGTAAAATAGATAAATAAATAAATACAATTAAAGTACTATTTTTTTGCATTACAATATTGAGAATTTTAAATGTATTAGCATTACAACCATTGGAACTGGGGGACATATGCTTAATTGACATGAAAAGAAAAATGTCACAATGAGAATAATATTAATGGTCCTAAAAATCTGTTTAATTGTCTTTTAAGCACAACATAATTTCTTATTTTTGAATGTGAAATATGATCTTGAAATGTTCTGGGGTGGGCTGATATTCACAGTCATATGACAGTCATGTTTGAAATCGATATTACATTAGACATGTTTAAGGCATGTAGCTATGACTCTGCAAGAGGTTCAATATAATTTTCAAGAATCAGATTAGCTGTATCATGTTCTAGATTTCCCACTATCCACTTCAGCCAGCTTTCTAAAAGAAGCTACTGACCCATTAAGCTCGCACATAAATTATTCCTTATTGATGAATTATACACTGAAGCAGAGGATTCCTTTGGAAAAAAAGACTGCAGCATTGTAATTTCCCATTATTCTGCTCACTCACCCACGAGATTGGTTTGAAAACTCGTAAGACATTGATTATGGCAGTGTGAATCATTTATTCATACATTAATTTGTTCATTCATCAACTTAATCATTATTTTTTTAAATTAAAAATAAAGACTGCATGTAGTGTCAGCTCAATATGATAATATACATTGCATAATTTATGTGAAAGCCTATGACAGTGTAACATACAATCATAAGCTCAAAGAATGAGAATACTCTACTGGATATAATGCTACAGACACATGGCCATTTATATCAATTACACTAGCACTGGTGCACTTGCGCCACCTAGTGGAAGATTCAGTGACCCTGAAGACCTGATCTAATCTATTAGCTACTGAAAGCTTGATTTATAATTTGATATAAAGTCAAAGTTAAAAAACAAAAACAAAAAAGCAATTATACTCATCCTCCTCGGGTCATCCAAGATGTAGATGAGTTTGTTTCTTCATCAGAACAAATTTGAAGAAATGTAGCATTACATCACTTGCTCACCAATGGATCCTCTGTAGTGAATGGGTGCCGTCAGAATGAGAGTCAAATTTTATCATTCAGAAGTTTTTAACTTCAAACCGTTGCTTCCAGCTAAAATGAGTCCTCTATCCATAATATTGCTTTCGAAAGTGAAAAGTAGTCTTGTTTGAATCAGGAGAGAAATATGCACAGATCAAACACTGTTAACAAGGGAACACAGTCCAAAACTTTTAGCAAATGTTCATTTTTGGGTGAACTATTCCTTTAATATGTTTACATTCTGTTTTGCATACATTTTTCTTAAAAATAATAGTATAAAGTATATACTGACCAGTTAACAGAACTTTCGAGTAGACGTATCAATTAAGTGAATGAATGAATGAGATGATGTACAGTATGATATACAGTAAGTTAATGTACTGTAATAGTTAGATAAATTCAGCTGAAAGCAACTGGTCTTGATTTCTGATGCTGTACATCAGTTGTCTACTACTGGGGGCTCCCACCCATATGGGATGTCACTAGACTCCTGATAGCTGTGGGAATCTCATCCCCCTATGAATGGACCATATGCACGCCCACTTCTGCAAATAGAATGAGATATTCCATTTGCATAATTTACTTTGAGAAGAAACGAATGCCCCTGTCAGAGCACGCAAATCAATGGACACCAAAGAAAAGTGCCTGAGAGTGCTTCTCTGGTGACAGAAATAAGTAGGCAGGATAAATCTGATGCATAAGTACGTGAACACGGTCAAGTGCGTGAGGCCCTCCAAGGCGAGACCGCAGTGTCCTAGGTGGCATTGCAAATCTCATCCTAATACCAAAAAAGTACAGTTTGTTTCAATAGAAATTGTACCCTATATTACATTATGATTAAGACCATAACCCACCATAGAGGCTAACAGTTTGTTGTTTTTAAGTTGGAAACATACAGTACCATTCCAAGTTTGGAGTCAGTAAGATTTTTTAATGTATTTTAATCACTTATGTTCACTAAGACTACATTTATTTGATCACAATACAGTAAAAACTGTAATATTGTGAAATAATATTGCAATTTAAAATAACTTCTATTTGAATATAATTTAAAATGTAATTTATATGATGTTATATGATGGATTATTTAATGTGATGCAAAGCTGAATTTCCAGCATCATTACTCCAGTCTTCAATGTCACATCATCCTTCAGAAATCATTATAAAATGTTGATTTGCTGCTCAAGAAACATTTATTATCATCAATGTTAAAAACAGTTGTGCTGCTTAATATTTTGTGGAAACATTTTTTCAGTCTTTAATATCAGTTGAATGCATCCTTGCTGAATAAAAGTATTTTTATAAAATATAAAAAAAATTCATACTGAACTGTAGTGTATTTTCTAAAAAATATAATCGCTTCCAATGCTGACCAGTAGATGTCAGTGCTTCTGTCATACAATCTAAATTTACCATTGCAACTGTATTTTCCACCAAAGCACCATAGTTATTAGTTACTTTTACTACAATAAAATTGCGGTAACTTACTAAAACGAACTATTAGATACGAGATTAAAAACCTCAAAAATATAAATGGAACAAAATAACTGCTTTGCCAGTCTTCTTAACCGTTTAAATGAGATCATATTAGCATTTAGCCTATGGTTGTATAATAGCAACAATACCTGTAGTAGCAAAGGTATTTTGTCTGAAACTATGGTTACTGTGTTAGATTTTTGTGATTCCATAAATAAGTTGTTATGAGTCTTTCATATACTAGACAAATCATACTGAATAGTTGCTAACAGTTCATAATTTCTTAAATACATAAACATAGCCTGCGTTTACAATTTCACCCAAAGCCACTTACAGAGCATTCAGGATATACATGTGTTCTCAGGGAATTGGATCCATGATCTTGCTTGCACTTTGCTCTTCATTGTTAACTACAGGAACACTTTTTGGGTAGATTAGCATTGCAGAATATATCTAAGGAATAAATAAAACAACACGAGAGCATGTATGTCATCAACTCTTGTACTGTTGTTGGCCTTAGTTTGGTTTAATCATTTCTCGGGGGAAAAAAAGAAACTCTCTTTTTGGCCCGCTGAACTTGAGCCTGAGTGCTTCACTTGACACTTGTCAACAGTTTTAATGAAACTTCCCCACTCCACATTCCCAGCATCCACCCCCCAGCCAATCCTATCTCCGATTCTCTCACTCGCTCTTTTCATTCTTTTCATTAGCCTCTTACGGGGTCATGGATGAGGCCCTGTCAGCCAGCCTGAGGTAGCAGCCATCGGAGGCCCACCCTAGGGAAAAAGCATGTGTTATCCCTCTCCCTCCCATCCAGCTCCAGTCGAAAGTTCAAAGCTGTGCTTTTAAAACAGAGAGTGGTGTGTGTGCTGGCTCCCCTCCCATGCAGGGTCACAGTTTGGCTGGAGTTGGAGCTGGGGAGATGAGAGGGCCGGGCGGCTGGGGGGAGGCGAAGGTTCTCACATGAAAGGTCTGCAGCCGAGGAGAGAGTCCCAGACCCAGACACAACACAAGGGATCAGACTGGCCCCCCATCCCCCTTAGCCGCAACACTTCCCACCAAAGAACAGCTGGAATGTGACCTGTTCCAGAACCGAGGCCAGGATTGACTGACAATAGAATCCATCGGGATGGGGGGGTGGGGGGGAATCGTTGCTCTATCATAAAGTATGTCCCCCCTTATCAAAGCTAATTCAAAAACGCCTCATGAAGATGCAACTTGCAGAAAGTTTCGCAACAAGAACCATCCAGGATTTGATTAGAAATGTCTTTAATCGCCCCTCTGGTGTAGTTCCATAAACGTTTAATACATTTTCAAATAATAGTTATAATCTCATTATACGTTTGCCATTGTATGGTTTGACAGAAAACACTTAACATACTCTGTGAAGCACGTACATAGGACTACCTTTGTTTCAATTTATGGTAGTAATGTAAAAGCATAAATAGATGGAACAAACGATTACAGCACAAAAAAACTATGAAATAAAATAAGGTGCAAGAGTATTTAACATGTCATGTTTCTTTACTTTTAAGAATGACATGGCTTCATAATTAAAGCTGAAGTGTGTAATTTCTGTGCCACCAAATGAAATTGCAAAATTGACTGAGCACTCCCCCATTGGTTGGACAAAAAGTATTGGTTGAATGTGCCAGGCTGCTCAAACAAACTAGTAATGGTCACTTTTGTTTACACTTTTCTGGGGAATCAATTTAAAAACAGCTTACTTAGAATTGCCTCTCCATGCTAATATGGGGCTTATTCCGACTTCGAAAAATGACACACTTCAGCTTTAAATAAATCTTCATGACGTATAAATAAAGTTTTAGGTTAGTATCATTTAACCACCTGTTTCCACTGAAGATTAAAGTTCAGTGACTGCCTGCAAGGCATTTGTTCTGAGACAGGCAGAAAGAGTCTGGTTTAATATAACATCTGTGGCTTTTTAGTCAAACAAAAATAACTGGACTCACACTACAACATGTAGATGTAAATAAGGTAATACTTTCGCATGAAATCATCTAATATATATGTACGCCTATGTGTCATTCACACAGTGTAAAACACATATTTAATCTCTCCATGGATAATTCAAGCAGCTCCATGCTGCGGCAGAAGCATGACATACGATTGTAGATTCTACAAGTCAAGTTTGTGAGAGAGTCTGCTTCATTAAGAAAAGCAGGTGAGAGGCAGGCACGTTGGTTTAGGATAGGGGTGTCCAATCATGCTCCTGGAAGGCCGCCTTCCAGCAGAGTTTCACTCTAGGCAGATGTGTAGAAGCTAACTTTGCAGGACAGTGGCCCTTCAGGAGTAGGATATGACGCCCCCAGTTTAGGATGTCCAGAGATTCAGATAACATAAGCGCCCTAGTACTTTGTACTGTTGAACTCCTTTAAAACATCACAAGTCTTTTTGTTGATAACCTCACGGAGTTTGCGAACACGCCGTACACTAGAAGTGGCCACGAAGCTGTCGGGTTGCAGCACAGCCATGCCGTTGTGAACGTCCCCCATGATGATCATCTGTCCCTCGACTCTCGTTATGTTCGGACAGGGACAGTTCCAGTCCATGTTGAGCAGTGTCACCTCCAGAGGTTCTTGCCCGAAGAACCGCAGCCCCATCTTCTCATCCTTCAAGATCTCCTCCACAGTGATGAGCGCATGGCCAGAGTCGTGGTCCTCGGTCAACTCCGAAATACATCCCAAAACCACAAAGTCGCTCTTGCAGAAGCTCGGGACCATCTTCTGCCGGGGTTTGCACAGCTTGCAATTGTGAGTCTTGGGGAAGGGGCACATCTCCTCACAGGCTTCCTTGCTCTCGAAGTTGTTCTCGTTGCCTCCGCAGCCTCCATAAACAAACGACTGGCATTTCTTGAGCGCGTGGCTGTAAGCCCAGCGTGGTTTGTAAGCCTTGCAGGGACCTTGTACACTAGGTAGGGAGCAAGGTGCTGCAAGCTCTGCTCCACAGGACAGCATACACAACTCGTAGGTATCAAAATGGTTTTGGTTTTTATTGCACTGGCTGTACGTGAAGGTAAAGCAATTGTTGCGCTTGGTTTCATAGTACCACTTCATGCTCTCCTCTCCGCAGTCGCCCATATCAGGTGTTTTCAGACACTCCTCAGCAGGTAGCCGTGTGGAATTCATGACCAGCTCTGGTTTGGTCTGCTCCCTAGGGACCACAGAGAGTGGGAAATGGGCTTGCACAGATCCCCCCTGGTTTGTGGCAGTGCAGGTGTAGATGCCGGCATCCTGGACATGGGCATTGTATATGACCAGCTGGGCGATATTAGTAACTATTATGTTTCCTTGCACATGGTTGGGTTGCATTACAGTGTTCTCTTTACCTTCGATCTGCTTTTCCCACGTAATCGTCGGCTTCGGTTTTCCCATGACCTCGCAGAGGAAGCTGGCCGTTTCGCCCACAAACACAAAGTGGTGTGCTGGATCGCTGACCATGATGGGACGTTGAATGTCCATGGGTGTGGTCTCAAGATGGGCAGTGGTGGGCCAGGCAGTGGTCTCCGCTGGAAGAGGGCTGGTGTTGGACAAGCTAAAGTGGTACCTGCAGGTGACTTCGGTGAGGGTGACGCCCCTGGTACAGGCCTCAGCATCCATGTAGCACTTGTTGTAGTAGGTCATGCCATCCGAGGCGCATGTGAAATGGGGTTCCCGTCCACAACGGTCCCGGCATTTGCACACCGGCTGTCCGTCCCAGATTTCACACTCTGAACCCTGTTGGGTGCACATGAATTTGTCACAGGTGACCCCTTTGGGCATCCCTACTGGACCTTTCCTGCCCTTAACGTCCATGTAGCGGGCAGCCACACAGCTCTTGTGTCCGCAAACATTTGAACAGCATTTCTCGAACGGCTCACAGTCCTAGAGGAACAAAAAAGATATGTCATTAGGAGTGTGCCCAAAGTTTGTGGAAGTTATTAGCTTGTCTGAAACTGTAGGACTGTTAGAAGTCCATCCGGTTTTTTTTTCATAGGCTAAAGGCTAAAGTTTTTCACTGAATTCAAACAAGGAGAACAAATTTTGTCTTAATTTCTGTCTTAATTACTAAACTTATTGAATTAGACCTTTTCTGGTCTTATAGCAACTCAAATGGGTCAATTTGCTACATTTAATGACATCTGGATTAATAAATAGACAGATTTTTAGTTCTCAGGAAAAACATGCTATTTTATAATGTTAACATGATATTATTTTAATATGTGAACATTTTATCGTACAGACAGTGGATGTATGGTTATTTTATTTTTGCTGCAAAGGGTATGCTGCAAATATACCCTTACAAAAAATTACCATGATAACCATGGTTACAGCCAAACACCCATTTGTTACTATAGTAAAATCTAAAATTAATTTAAAAAAAAAAATATATATATATATATATTATATATATATATATATTCAATAATTTGTTAAAATTATTATCATAAAAACTATATTTTGAAAATCATTCTGTCCTTTTGTTATGTTTATTATTTGATGAAGTAGTGGCTAATCGTGCCACTTTTTACTATACTGACAAACACAACACACCACAGTTTTACTATACTGACAAAATAGCAACTATGGTACTTGGGCGTAAAACCATGGTTACCATGGTGAATGTGTTCAAATGCACCATGATAACCATAGTTTCTTCCTAAATATTGTTGTTGCAAATCGTATTGTTACAAATCTAAATTACAAATTAATTTAATACAAATTATTTAATCATTAAATTTAATTAATCATTCAATTTAAAAATAATTCAATTTAATTAAATAATTAAATCATTAAATTACTAATTGACAGTCTAATGTCTCATTATAGTACGAAAACTAGAAACTGCACAGCACTATTTTAATACTTATATTTAAAAAATGGCTACAATATTTGTAATTTATAGTCATGATAAAAAACAGAGACATGCTGGAATGGAGCGGCTTAAGTTCACCTGGTCGGTCTCGCACTCTCGCGTGCAGGTGCTCATCGCATCCACCCACAGGTTCGGGTTCATCTCGTTCGGACACATCCCTGCGTGAGAATAAACCACTTTGGACAGGGTCATTGGCATCGCTCTCGCGCGCAAGCCCAAACACAAGACGCAGAACAGTCCAAACAAAAACCAGATCCATCTGGGAAACAGCATCCACCACATATCCAGACGATAAGAAGTCCTTTCGAAAAAGAAAACGTCCCAGGGGTCGAAAAGCTACGCAGTCATTTCCCTGTGCGTAAAACAGGGCACAAGTAAGTGGGGACCCCGGCTATAGCGGAGGACGTGCGATCCGTTCAAGAGGTTTGTGGAGTGGAGGAGCGGTCGATGCGCGCGCGACGTTCATCAGTGCTGGGAGATTATAGGTTGCGGGTTCGACCCTATTACTAAACATTTCATATTCTTGTAAACAAAGCCTAACTGCTCTTTTTTTGTGTGCAAATTTTATATAGCACAGTGATAACTTCTTGAATGTCTTTGAAATTTAAGACGCTGAGAGTCACCTGGGTGACGCATTAGAGCACCTTTTAACTCTTTACTACCCTAAAAGAAGTCGTCGGCTATGTTTGGAATGGACAGCTGGTGTAGGCTACTGCATAGACCACAGTGCGCAGTGTACACTGAAAACTGGCCACTCAGTTTCTTTTGAAGTATGTGAAGCACTATGCAGGACGCAAAGATAAACAATTCAAATGGTATGTTGCCACACTCACCAACGCTTGCGTGTTTTGCATGTTCAAATGATATTAAATGATTATAGGTACAAATTGAGAGCAAATGATTGCACTATAAAGTTGGAATTACGAGACGGAAACTTCCGTTTAAAGCCTGACAGTCTTGAGTTGAATGACTGTCAGTTAAAGAATTATGAACTAACTGGAATTGGTTACAGTCAGTGTTGTTTATAATGCAGTACTAGCAATTAATTATTGTAATTTAATTACTTTTTCCTTTGAAAGAAAAATAAGGGATTACTCTTAAGTTTTCTGTAATTAAATTATTTCTGATGTAATTGCATTAAATACTATAGAACAATAAAACAGTAGTGGATTTAACATCAAAATGTAGCATCTAATGTTAAAGTTTGTGTTTTTTATTTAACCTTCTCCCTTTCAGTACTTTGGTCAGTTCAAGAATAATTTATGCAAATGTATATTATTTCTTTGAAAAATTAAAAGAGCAGTGTTCATGTCTTGTATTGTTCAACTGGTCAAGGTTGATATGGGATTTAGAAAGCGATTAGTAAAAATGTAGTAATGCAATACTTTTTGGAGAGCGTAATAATTACACCATTGAAGGTTACTTTTTTAAAGTAACTTAACCAACACTGGTTACAGCACATTTTTTGTATGACATTTTATGTACGATTAATTAATACTACAGATAAAACTTTCCAGATACCAAAACATACTACTTATTTACACATTAAAAAAATATTTTCAAAGTTAAATAAACAAAGATTATATAGAAGTCTTTGTACTTTTTTGTATATACAGTCTTTGTATTTCAAAATTTAACATTTAATTCAACGTTACTTCTCTGTTTTTTTTCTTTGTAATTAATTGTGATATTTACTAGCAATTTCTGAGGGAAAATTGTTTCTACATCAATCCCCCCCCCACCCCACCCCACATTTTTGTTTCCCATTATTCTGGCACCAACGAATAAAAAAAAAAGCACAGTTAAAGCATAAATCAAATACCTAATGCACCGCCTTTGCTCTTCATTATGTTGCATTAGCATGAAAAAGCTTCCTGTATTTGTCAGAAGGTAAAAATAGAGAGATAAATATTAAATCTTAAATGTAATTTATTCCTGTGACGCAAAGCTGAATTTTCAGCATCATTACTCCAGTTTTCAGTGTCACATGATCCTTCAGAAATCATTCAAATATTTGCTGCTCAGGAAACATTTCTTATCAATGTTGAAAATATTTGGAATCTGTAATACAGGATTCTTTGATGAATAAAAAAGTTCAAAAGAACAGCATTTATTTGAAATAGAAATCTTTTCAGCCCTACTGAATTAAAGTAGTAATTTCTTTTTAAAAAATCTTACCGACCCCTATTATGTACACTTAATGGCAAGGTACATACTATATTAAATATGTGACTGTCAAACATGGAATTCAACATGAATATTATAAGTCTTCAAGTGATGTTCAATCTAATAATACCAATAAACACACTGATGCCAGGCACATATTCACCCAAGTTATTCATGTTAATCTGTGTCCCATCTGACTTTAGCAGACATGGGAACGTTACCTCCAGCTGTGCTGGTACAGAGTAGAGGTCATGTGGTTCAAACATACAACCAATTCTGTCAGCAATAAACACCAGACTTCATATGAAACTGGCTTACAGTGTTTCTCCTCCCCCGTATTTTTAGTCTCCCTACAGCTTTATCAAGAGCAGATACTTAAGAGTCTAAAAAAATGAAATGATCAAAAATATATGATAACATAATTTCTAGGAGAATGATCATTTGTAGTCTGCTGAGCTCTAACTGGAAAACCCTTGCATTTTACATTCAGAAACAATCAACTCAATGAAACAAATAACAATTCCTTTGTCTAACTAAATAACATGAGGCTTGTGTTAGTTTGTTTAACCAAACTGACCTGGAATCACTTAAATTCCATCTTCTATGGATTTTTCCGAGTAAGCAGGCACAATTTTGACGTAGTAACTTATGAATTAACAACATGCACATGTAAAAGATAAACTGAATCAAATCCATCTTTTATGTGACTGTGAATTCACAAGTCCATCCAGAACAGTTCAATATTTTGAGAACAACACACTGCAGTATGACAGAAATGTGCAGCTGTCTCCGTTTCATTTCATGAGAACATGTACCACCCCCCTTGCATTTTACATTCAGAAACAATCAACTCAATGAAACAAATAACAATTCCTTTGTCTAAATAACATGAGGCTTGTGTTAGTTTGTTTAACCAAACTGACCTGGAATCACTTAAATTCCATCTTCTATGGATTTTTCCGAGTAAGCAGGCACAATTTTGACGTAGTAACTTATGAATTAACAACATGCACATGTAAAAGATAAACTGAATCAAATCCATCTTTTATGTGACTGTGAATTCACAAGTCCATCCAGAACAGTTCAATATTTTGAGAACAACACACTGCAGTATGACAGAAATGTGCAGCTGTCTCCGTTTCATTTCATGAGAACATGTACCACCTGCACTAAATCAATGCACTGCAACAGAGGAGTGATTTAATGGTGCTTCCACTTAAGATTAATCTTTTGTGTGAACTTATGAGCTTTCTGAAAGGTATTAACGCTGTCTGTATGCCGGGGCTCCCCACTAGCAGGAAAGGTCATAAAAAACAATCAACATGTTATTACCTCTCATAAGCTCATTATATCGTCTGACTCGCATACAAAAATAATTAGTAACACTCAGTTGAGCTTTGTTTTAAATGTTCTTTATAGAAACGAGCCGCCTCCACACGCACGCAGCATGTGTCACCGTCAATTCTCAGCACAGCAGGCTGTTCTTATGCAAGAGGTGCAGAATGTGTGTTGCTACATCTGGAGGACACATGCGATCTGTTTTCATAAAAATAAAAAAAAATGTACTCTGTACACAATCTGCCTCAGACTTACTGAGTTTAGGTCAAAATATGCACTATATAAAAAAAAACTGCCACGAACACACTATATATACTCTCTCTTTATACACACACACACACAGATGATAGATAGATAGATAGATAGATAGATAGATAGATAGATAGATAGATAGATAGATAGATAGATAGATAGATAGATTATATATGCATAATTATTGCAAAATATAATTATGTATATATTTAGATAGATAGATAGATAGATAGATAGATAGATAGATAGATAGATAGATAGATAGATTATATATGCATAATTATTGCAAAATATAATTATGTATATATTTAACGGTTAATATTGTATATTATTAACATTCTAACCTATTTTATATATATATTTATTTAAAAATGTATGTTTATAAACATTTTTAAATGTTTTAAATGTATGCATTTATATACACTCACACATACATATATACGTTTAATAATATTTCATAATGATGTATATATTTTATAGTTAATATGCTGTATTCACAGAATTTAACATTTCAACAACAAATCTATATATAGATTGTAATAAATATATATATATATATATATATATATATAATTTAAATTTTGTTACAATAAAACAATTCTGTTCTATTAAAAAGGTTCTGTTTGTGAACAATATTATGATATTGTATTATAAATGAACATGAGTATATTTAACTTATATCTTTAACTTAACTTATTTAAAAAAGTAGCAAATTAATAGATGCTATATAGAACTTATTTGTTATTCATATTTACTTAGTACAAAACTACATATATCTATAGTTACAAAAAATGTACAGACATAATATTTTATATATAAATGTCTATACATTTTTTTTTTTTACATATATATACACTTCTCTTATAACGGCTATATTAGTTGAGAGGTTAATACGAGACAGCTGTTCTCTGATCAAAAGAGTTTGTCAGGTGCAGCTGGATGTCTGGTTTTAAGACAGACCCACTGAGAAGGCAGGTGTTTACTGACAACTGAGCGAGATCTCATGCTAGTTTCACCATAAGGGGCAAGAGATGTGATATGGTATGAAGACATGAAAAGATAACTCCACTATATTAAAGTTCAAATGCGAAACCAAGCTGAGAACATGACAGCAGTTGTTTATACGATTTTCTCCGGATACTAGTTACAATGAATAGTTTGCATTGGATCATTCACACATTTTTTTAGTTCTTGCACAAATAGAAGGATTCTAGAGTAATTTCCTCTGTAATTTCCCATTGTCTCTAGAGGCCTGCATGCTTGTGTGATCTATAGCGTTTCCCTTAAAATGTGCAACTGAGCGAAAGAGATCAAATGGCAGTTGGTGAACCGAGTTAGTAGTCCCCTCAAATAGATTGATGTGAAACAAATTTATGAGTTGAAATAAAACTTCCGTCAGGGTTTCGATATTATATGACACCAATCCTGCAAAGAATATTTCATCATTGTTTAGAAGCATCATTTTTTCAGTACAACTGACTTTGAGAGGACTATTCACACTCTACTGCTCAAACCTAGAACATAGTCTACATTAAATCTTAAGATTTCTGAAAGCTCTTGGAAACTTTGCATTTTTTCTACTTGCACGAGTACGACCAAAACCCCTATAGCCAATTTTATATTTGCAATTTATATTAGACATTTAATTAAAATCCAAATCTAACAAGCTTTTATTATTGTAATTCTCCTCCACAATATTGTCCTCTGAATTTCAAACTTTTAATGAAAGTATCTATTCCTCTCAAATGCTGATGTTTAAAACATCTTTAAAATGCTGATCCAAAGCTAAATTTGGCATTCTATATGTAGTCTAGTCCAGTAACTCTGATATGCTGTGTGGACCCCACAGAAGAGTTTAATGGAGTGGAAACACATCCTTCCTCCTAGAGAAAGAGCATTAGTGCTGTCTGGAGTCTCATTTCTACAAGACTAAGCCTGTCCTCTATTGGCAAACTTCAGCAATGGCATGTTGCACTGGCTTTTTCCCCCTTGTTAAACCTAAAGAAAGATATGTTCATGACGCATGCATTTTAACCCTTTCACCTTTTGCCCCATGTTCGTTCAAAGACATATTTTTAGAAAACACCACAAAGAAACAACGTTCTTGTTGTATAAGTGTACTGAGAACGTTTAAAATATTCAAATGCTGCGAGTTAAGCTGTATTTGATCTCTAGAATATGACTAATAAACATTTCTCTAACTTTAAAGGATTGAAAAAACCCACACACATAAAAAAAAAATCACTTTATATAAAGCGATAACATAAAAGCTTTTAAATTAAAAAAAAAATCTAAATGTAATAAATATAGTTTAAGTTTAATATATATGACAATATTATATAATTTATTTTAATAGTAATTTTAACAATTTTAAAAATGTAATATTTTTTATTTTAAATTGCATTAATCTAGGTTAATATATGCTGTAAACTGTCAATCATGTTAACCACACACATTAAAAAGAAACAAAAAATAAAGCCAAGAAAATCCTTTAAATGGTTTTCCAGCTGTCTTTTAGTTAATTGAGAACATATGAAAGAACAAAAATCGACATGGTTTCATTTAAACTGAAGTGTATAATACTTTTAATCCTCAGATTCTAGTATTATACAATACAAAAAAAATTGCACATAAAAAACAAACAAACAAAAAACTTTAATGTCAATAATTTATCAATGTCTTTCCAAGGAGCTAATGTTACATCTCAACAATAGTAGCATATTGTTAACATATCTAATGATCGTATGCTTGGTTAGACAGTCAAACCCTCAGAGAAAACTAAAAACAATTCATAAGACAAATCTTTAGAAATTCTTCTCACAGTAACACAATCTTGATCAAGTCCAAAAGCTAATTTACAACAATGTAGTGTTTATGCGCCGCTTCTAAAACTAACCTCAAGCATTCCCACCAAAACTGCGACCAGAAATTTATTTTATGCTCATAATCAACAAAGCAGCAAAGTGTTTAGTAAAATGGCACTACTATTACTGCTATATCTTGAATACAGATCCTGCTTCTCAAATATGGGAGAACTAAGCACTCAAGGGAAGTCAATATGATGCTCACTGGAAGCTCTCAGTGGTTAAATATCTTATTATTAATCTCCAATTCAGCTCCTCCTAGGGGAAAATGAAGAAATCTTTTGCTACATTAAGTTCAAGAGAAACAAAGGACATTTTGTGTTCACACATGAGGCTGATCTACTTTAATCAGTCCATGCTAGTTTATAGAACGAGTTATTTGGCTTACAGTGACTGATGGAACAGCATTCAAAATACAGCACTGAATTCTCAAGGGTTAAATATAAAGGACGCTTCTCCAATAATAGCAAGGTTTTGGTAAATTGCACAGAGAGTTGTCTGGCAAACAAAATATGTTTTGATTTCAAAGCATTGGTATGAAATAAGCGTGGCTTCCTCCAATCAATGCAGGCATATAAACCACTAAACAACTAATTGGCCAGCGTGTTGGACAGATCTCTTGCGATAGGACAGTCTACATTTGTTTGGATGTATGATGAAATGCCTGAAGGCAATATGAAGGCAAGGCAGTGAGACAGATCTGAACGGCCAGCGGCCGACAGTATGCAAAAGTGGTGCATTTCAATATTTTCCAAAGTCCAGTCGAAAGCTGAATGGATCTGAATATTCAAATCAACAAGAACAAGCTATCAATGGTTACAATGGAGGAGGAGGCACTAAGGATGCATCTGTAAATGAAGGAGACGAGGAATAAGGCTAACATGTTATATGAACCATTTACCAACCCAACACAGAAGCATATTTTGGGATCCGAAATGCGTTTGGGATTTCAGGAAGCAGGTTGCAGATAAAGTGCGAGTCTCTAAAGTGAAGCTAGTAGGTGAGCCTGGAGGCCTTCATGTTGTAGCAGGGCCTGTCAGTCAGACCTCCCTGACCTCCAGAGAACAGTGACAAGCTTTCGGTTTTCTCCAGCACCACCTCCAACTCCTGGAAATCCTGTAGCCGTGCCACATCTTTATCCTGTTAAAAGAACATGTATACATTTAGACAGATGCAGTGTTGAATGATCTGAAATAGGGTTGTACGATAAATCACAATTTACGCTTCTCTCGATATTTGCACGCTGGTTCTAGAAAAGATATAGTATATATTTTTTCCTTTGACAGTTGTGCCATCTTGCATTGATAAGAAGCTTTCATGTATGTGGTTGCCATATGTTAAGAAATCCCCCAATCAGAACTTTTCTCTTAAATGGATACATTTTCTGCCGAGTGCTTTACTTAATCTTCCCAAGATGACAACCATGTGCAGAAAAAAAACAATGAAAACAGCTGTAAACATGTACGATGGAGCTTAGCAAGTGCCACTGCAATATTTCGCTCAAATGAAACATCCCATGATGCAGTAGGGCTGTTCAGCTCAGTACATTGAAGAATTCTTGCCTGAGGCTTTTGTACCCATCATTTTTGTTTAAAAACACTAAAAACTCAACTCCCCCAGTGTCTGCAGTTTAATATAATAAAATGGCCAAAAGTACTGTCAGATTTCAGCCATAAGAATCTTGTTTGTCGCTCCTTTTGCAGCTAGAACTGCCTCTACTCAATGTTAAAAAGCACTGCTCAGATTTACCAGCTCAACAAACCTTGTCTGTAGATGTAGACATGTTTAAACAGGAGAGGATCCTGCTTAACCAAACAGAATGTCACTTTTATGTAGCATCAAGATGTTTAAGAGGCCCAAACTAAACCACGAGGAACAGATCCAAATCCATATTCCTCCAACTGCTAGACATATGCATTTGTGCAGGAAGTGTTGTTTTTGTATTAACACAAGTGCAAGATCAAACAACAATACTGCCACCAGGATGATTTTGTTGTCGTGCCCAACAACACTCTTAACCCATAATAGTATTTATAAATGTACAATTTACAAATGTTTTATTGCTTTTAGATGGTTACAACAGAAGAACAAATATTAGGGGAACACAAATTTATATTTAAACATGTTTTAAATCAAATTCATTCAAGGGTTAGTTCACATCAAAAGTTTTAAATGCTCAAATAATTTACTTGCCATTATAGTTGTTCCAAACCTGTATTTGTTTCTTTCTTCTGCTTAACACCAAAGAAGATATTTTGAAGAATGTTAGTAACCAAACAGTTCATGGTAGCCATTGAATTCCATAGTATGGAAAAAAATACTATGGAAGTCAATGGCTACCGTCAACTTAAAAAAAAAAAAACATTCTTTAAAATATCTTCTTTTGTGTTCAGCAGAAGAAAGAAACATACAGGTTTGGAACAATTTGAGGGTCAGTAAATGACGACAATTTTCATTTTTGGGTGAACTATCCCTTAAACTATTCCTCTTTAAGATATTGTTCCTGACTTGTAAAGTAAGGTTTAGGGCTGCACGATTTGGGGAAAATATATTTGTAATTTTTCTAAAAAAAAAAAAACATTCTTTAAAATATCTTCTTTTGTGTTCAGCAGAAGAAAGAAACATACAGGTTTGGAACAATTTGAGGGTCAGTAAATGACGACAATTTTCATTTTTGGGTGAACTATCCCTTAAACTATTCCTCTTTAAGATATTGTTCCTGACTTGTAAAGTAAGGTTTAGGGCTGCACGATTTGGGGAAAATATATTTGTAATTTTTCCAATTAAACACCCAAAAACTATCAATGAAAAACAAAATTATTGTAATTGAAAAAAATTTATTCAATTATAATCAAAAATAATTTATTCAAATAATTAAATATTTGAAATATATTACAATTAATTAAAACTGACAATTTTACCCATTTTCATGTGTCTGTCAGCAAATGCTAATGCCAAACCTGTTGAATGTAAGTGTAGCTGCTATTTGTGTACTGCATATGTAGAGCATCCAAATCAGTCACTTATGAGGTTCCATCTCTGTTAGGATACTACCCTATGTAGGCAGTAGGCTGTGAGGCAGCTGACTTGACTTAGCTTTCTTTTTCTCAGGCCTCACCTTTCTGAGCATAGTGTTGGGCAGCTTGCGGATCTTCTCCACATGTTCTGCGCTGATGTCCAGCTCGCGGCAGCACACACGGAGGAGGGCACGGTACGTCAGCTCCTGCCGGTCCAGCTCCACCTCGATGAAATCGTTCTCTCTGACATTGGTGTTCTGGATGCGGACCTTTAGTACGAGCTCTGAGAAGAGACAGCAAGTCTGAGATTGTGACTTGAGGAATCTCTCTCTGCATTCCTCAAACCAGTCTGTTTGAGTGCAAGTGCATTTAAAGAAAGAGTGCGCAAACCTGTTAGCGGAGATCTACTGCTGCCTTCAAGTCATGTTGAAAAGAACGAATTTATGAGATATGCATTTTTTTTAAAGTCAATATGTATGTACAATACCTTAAATGTAAATGAGCAGCTGTGATTTGGAGTAAAATACATTACCGTTTAGGGTCACTTTGATGTTTTTTTTTTAATAAAATGTATATTATTATTGTAAGTGACAGTAAAGACATTTATAAGGTTAAAAAAGATTTCTATTTCAAATAAATGCAGTTTTATTTTAACTTTCTATTCAAAGAATCCTGAAAAAAAAAGTATAAACGTTTCCACAAAACTATTAAGCAGCACAACTGTTTTCAACATCGATAAAAAATGTTTCTTGAGCAGCAAATCAGCATATTAGAATGATTTCTGAAGGATCATGTGACACTGAAGACTGGAGTAATGACGCTGAAAATTCAGCTTTGATCACAGGAATAAATGACATTTGAACATATATTAAAATACACATGCAATTATTTTAATTGTAATAATATTTCACTAAATTATTTTCACTCAGTTTCTGAATAAATGCAGCCTTGGTGAGCATAAGAGACTAAAAAGATTAAAGATTAAAAAGAATGTGTGTGTCGTGTGTGTCTGTGTGTGTGCAAGACAATTAATTAGCATTAATCTGTTACTATAAATGTTATTATATAATATATATACAACAATGTATACATTTATAATTTTATTATGAATTTTAATTTTAAATTCATAAAAGCAATTTGGTAACACTTTACTTGAAGGGGTGTGCATAAGACTGTCATGACACCTTCATAATCATGACATGACACATGTCATGAATATGAAGGAGGTTGTATGCATGTTTATGACAACTGTCATTAAGTGTCATTCGCTCAGTTATGTCATTTTTAATGCAAATATGACATTATTTGACCTAACCCTAACCTACCCCTACCCCTACCCTTACCCCCAACCATAGCCCATAACAAAGACATCTCAAACAATGTCATCTTTGCATTAAAAATTACATAACTGAGCGAATGACACTTAATGACAGTTGTCATAAACATGCATAAAAAACCTTCATATTCATGACATGTGTCATGCCATGATTATGTAGGTGTCATGTCATGATTATGAAGGTGTCATGTCAGTCTTATGCACACCCCTTCAAGTAAAGTGTAACCAGCAATTTAAAGTAAAACTATAGTAATTTATTGTAACAGATATTGTTACTTTTTCCAATTTCTTTCACCATTTTCATTATTTACAGTGTTTAGATACTACAGGGCCTTTAGATACTCTTCACTGACTAGTTCACTGACCAACAAGCTTCCTAATAAATCCTCACTGTACCTTGTACGTTAACAGGAAAAGCGCTGGTGAAAAAGAAGGGCTGGAAGGCCGGCATGGAGCCACCGAGCTGAGAGCAGTTGATCTGCTGCGGGATGGACGGCTGCCGGGTGACGGCGGCACTGGGAACCTGCGACTGGCCGCTGCTTCCGCTGGGAGAAGGAACTGTGGGACACACTGGGCCGTTCTGTGCTATGGGATGAGGGTGTGTATACTCGCAGTGGTTGGTGTGATGAGTCTCTGAGGAGAGCTCCATGGGCAGGCCGCCGTTCTGCTCCACCACGGGGATGTAGGGTAACTCCTGCTGGCTCTGGCTGTCTGAGTAAAGGCTCTTGGGCTGCTGATGCTGAGGCGGAAGCTGCTGCTCTTGTGTCGGCGATAAAGTCGCTGGTTCCGACTCCAGGGGCTCTGAATGATTGTTGGTGCTGTTTTGCTGTGCTATGCTCATGTTATCTTTGTCCATCTTGCTGTACAGGAAGGGCGGGTTGGAAAGATAGTTTGGAATGATTGGCAGCTCTGGTTCCTTCAACTCAGGCATGTCTTCCTCTTCCACTGGAGACGGAACGACAAGCATGAATGTGACAGTGTAAGGACATTTAAAGTGCTTACTGACCGTATACGGAAGGTTTTTTTGTTTTCATGTTTGTATTTTAGTGTACTGCAGTGTACAAAAAATTCTATATGTTATAATAAATTGATAAATCAATTATAAATTATACCATTATGGCCAATGATTGATAAATTGCCAGTAATAAAATTCTATAATATTTTGTCTAAATAACTGAATAAATAAATAAAACACTACAAACAAAATTTAATAGTTGAACTAGTGAATTTAGGCATCACAATATTATAATGTACAGTATGAAAATGGATATTCATTTTAAGATTCACTAAAGTTTACATTTAATGTTATTAAATTTGTAGTGTTTGTAAAGGTTAATTTTAAGATAAAGCTTTAAAAAGTTGCTCAAGATGTCAAAACTGGAATATGGAATGTTTTAAATATGTATTTTAGTGTTTTCAAGAATTAATACTATCAAAAAATAGTGATGCAAAATTTGAAAATGTATAATGTTATGGCTGATAAATTCTGTAATATTTTATCTAAAAAAATTGTAGCATTCAAAACTATTGCTTTTAGTTTTTAATGTTTAAAAACTAAAAGCAATGGTTTTGAATGCTACAAATTTGGCATCACAATATAAAAATTTTAATTAAATTAAATGTAACCCCATGTTTTAAAGATCTTCTGAAAAATGCATGCATTTATTTTTTGTAATCTCAATTATCTTTATTTCTCAGGAAAGTGCATTGTAAATTGACCATATTAACACTGACAAAACATGCAAAAAATAAATAAATAAAACAATAGTTTTAACCACTATAGATAAATTTAGATTACACAAAATTATAAAAACTATTAATAATACAAATAAATAAAGACAAAAAGTAATATTCATTTTGAGATTTGTTAAAGATTAAAGAGTGTTAAATTATTAGTTTTTAAAGATTAAACTGGCAGCAAAGGTAATCTATATATTGAAATGGTGAACATTTCTACATGTAAAATCAATTATCCAATACTGATAAATAATAACAACAATAAATCTCTAACATTAGTCGACAACCAATATGATACTGAAATAATGTGCATCCCAAACAAAAACAGACTTAAGACATTTGATTTAATATGCAAATGCATCATAAACATGAGTCATATGAATGCATAGGAGCATTTGAATCAGTCATGATTTGTATTTATGCATACCATCCTCACGCATTTATATTCTAGTGCAGAGGTTCTCAACTTTGGCCCTCCAGGTCCAACCCTAATTAAACCCACCTGAACAAGCTAATCAAGGTCTTCAGGATCACTAGAGAGTTACAGGCAGTTGATTTTTGACCAAGGTTGGAGCTAAACTCAACAGCAAAGTGGACCTCGAGGGCCAGAGTTGAGAAACCCTGTTCTAGTGTACTGATTCCAGTAAACATAACATTTAGGCAATGGACTGTAAATATCTAGACTTTATAGAAAGTATAAGAGCACCTAACACATCATGTCCTGTGATACAGAAGGTAGGATTTCTGAAAAAATACCTCCAATTAGTCTTCTGATTTCAGGTTTGGAAGTGAGTTGAACGGCTAACTCTTCTTTCGCTGTTAGAATGTCTTTGTCGGCTCCGGCGTTCAGCAGATAGGCCACTATGTGTTTGTGGTTTCTTTTACAGGCCCAATGCAAACACGTCCTGGATGAACAAGGGACATCAGAACTACTTAAACATGGTTTCCAACGTGCACTGCATCAGTCAAATGAGTTTGAATGCATTAAGGCATTACTAAAAAAAGCAGTCAACGCTTAGCATGAATGTCAGGACAAATCTAACACCTCCATTCAGTTGCTCAACAAATATCCACAGTGAGAAAACGGAGAGCTTAAAGACAAGCTGTCTAATTGAGCATGTCAGGAATGCTACCAGGCTAGATGAAAGGTAAGGGCTTATCTACAGAGCTCATAAACTATTCAGTTTTCCTCAGTCCTGCTCTGCACATTATAAAGGGCTTTCTGCATTACATCATGACCCTGGGCTTATGCATTTTAAATCCTATTAAGGCCACATTTAAACCTTAGTTAATCAACATTACGTATTAAACATTTAAGCAGTGTGCATGCTATACAACGTAAAACAATCAGGTGCAAGAAGGTAGTGAGTTGATTAGCAACAGACAACCAATTACAAACTGTCTTACACATTTGGCCCCGCCCCAAATTCACATCATTGGTTGATCCAGTGTTGCCTCTGCATATTAAAATTAAAGTATTTTAATATAAGAAAAGTAAAGAAAGAAGGAACGATTTCATTGAGGAGCAGCTGGTGCAGGACTTAAGGAGTAGTTTGCACCAAAATTAGTTTAAATTCAATCATGTATGTTTAAAAAAAGTTTATTTCTTCATAATAATAACTCCTTACATTTATATAGCGCTTTTCTGGGCACTCGAAGTGCTTTACATAGAAGGGGGGGGATCTCCTCAACCACCACCAGTGTGCAGCATCCACCTGGATGATGCGACGGCAGCCATATTGCGCCAGAACGCCCACCACACACCAGCTTACTGGTGGAGAGGAGACAGAGTGATGAAGCCAATCAGCAGATATGGGGATGGTTAGGAGGCCATGATGGTTAGAGGCCAATGGGTGAATTTGGCCAGGATGCCGGGGTTACACCCCTACTTTTTTTCGAAGGACATCCTGGGATTTTTAATGACCGCAGAGAGTCAGGACCTCGGTTTAACGTCTCATCCGAAAGACGGAAATAATTATTATTTATTATTATTTCTTCATGGGCACAAATTTGGAGAAATTAACATCACTTGCTCACCAATGGATCCTCTGCAGTGAATGGGGGCCGTCAGAATGAGTCCAAACAGCTGATAAAAACAACACAGTAATGCACAAGTAATTGACGTCTCTAATGAATTGAAAATTCGCATGTTCTTAAACAAATCCATCCAGACATTTTTAGCTTGAAACTGTCGCTAAAATACTTCTGCCCATAATATCGCTTTCTACAGTAAAAAAAAACACGTAATCTTGTCTGAATCAGGAGAGAAATATGCACAGATCAAGCAGCGTTTACAAGTGAAAGCAGTTCTAAACAAATATGTCACAGTATTTTGATGTCAGAATGAGTCCAAACAGCTGATAAAAACAACACAGTAATGCACAAGTAATTGACGTCTCTAATGAATTGAAAATTCGCATGTTCTTAAACAAATCCATCCAGACATTTTTAGCTTGAAACTGTCGCTAAAATACTTCTGCCCATAATATCGCTTTCTACAGTAAAAAAAAACACGTAATCTTGTCTGAATCAGGAGAGAAATATGCACAGATCAAGCAGCGTTTACAAGTGAAAGCAGTTCTAAACAAATATGTCACAGTATTTTGATGTGATTGGACACTCATTCTGACGGCACCCATTCACTGCAGAGGATCCACTGGTGAGCAAGTGATGTAATGCTACATTTCTCCAAATCTGTTCCCATGAAGAAACAAACTCATCTACATCTTGAATGGCATGAAGGCGAGTAGTAGTACTAGTTTTCATTTTAGGGTGAACTATTCCTTTACGAAGGGGGACACTGCGCCCCCTGTTCACATATCTGGTCACTCCACTAATGTCTTCACTGTCAGGCAATTCATTAAGAATTAAGAATAAAGGCGAATTGCTGTTTAAGAAAAGGTTAATATAACTGTATACGCTTAGAAAATCAAACAGAGTAATTTCGCCTGTTGGGTGAGTGTTAATACGCACCATCCGTTAATCTCATTTTGAGAGTTGATGTTGACTCCGCTCTCCACTAAAGTCTTCACCTCATCAATGTCTCCGATGGCACTGGCCTCTCTCAGACGCTCCTGTAACTCTTTATCCAGCGATGTCGTTGACATTATTCCAGTCTTTATGGAAATAAAAGCTTCATACGAACTGACACACTGTGCTTTTAAGACAGGAGACACAAATAGACTCTCAACTTGCTCCGCCGTGGCTTAAACTGTTTCCTGTTCTGGATGATTTTCGACAGGCGAGTCTATTTAGAGTCTTTGGATTGAAATCGGATCAAAACGGCACACTATAATAAATCGGGTTGTGATCAAATAATCTTTCGCCGACTACTGCAATCCACTCGTATGCGCCGCACCTCCCATGTTGGGGGCAGTTTTCTGTGTAACACCTTCGGATCATGATCTTTGGTTCCTACTTACGATAGCCGGTAAATCATTCTTAAAAACTAAGATAAGAGTCCGATCAGAGGTCAAGGAATACAAAATCTGTAGTCAATAAACAGACTCTGTACAAGATAATACACTGATATTATTTATTGATCAAGGAGCATCATGGAACTGCAGCAATTAACTGTGTCGTGCAGATAATATTAGTGTTTCATTAAATTTCAAATAAAAAGTCACAAATATGTTGTCTTCATGTGAGAATTTACATATTTATGTATTGGCATACAAATATTTAACATTATGTTCGTTGTAACTGTGATTGAATTGATATTACATTGATATATGTGATAAAAATAAACATTTACATTCATGCATTAGGCTCAAAAGCACACCCAAAGCAACTCCCATTGCATTCAAGATAAAACATTTTATCAGTTTTCTTGCTTTTGGAACAATTGGATTTTGCAAGACCTCATTCTTAGCAGAAACTACGGTTAACATGGTAAATCTTTAAATAACACTGCAAATCTATAATCCAGATAACCAATGATAATGATCAAAGGAATTAACAGATATTCGGATCTCAGCCCGGCTCGATCAATATTATGTGCACATCATTTTAAACATTTGTCTAAACTATTATTCATTTCCTTTGGTGTGGAAAAAAAACATCCAACAAGAACACATATTTTCCAGAAAGAGAGTGATCACAAATTTCAGCAAAGCTGAAGTATTATTCAGTATCTTAAAACATTGCAGAGTTCACTCAAATACTGTACAAACTGATATTATATTAAACTACGCTGTCCTTGTGAAACAGTAAGCACTTTTTGTTGGCGGGCATATCAACCTGAAAAAAAAAAAAGAAAGATGACTCAAAGTGGTGAATAATCACACAATCAAGTCAATCACATTTAATAGTAAGAACTAGGTGTATAAGGCATGATGTCAGATTAATTTGCAATGGATCATGGCCAAGTAATGGATTATAGCCTCTAGGAAAAACCTTCAGAAGAAGAATTTTAGTGAACAGAAATAGGCAAGGGAGGCTTGACATGGACCATGTATAGCAGGGGTGCCCAAACTCGGTCCTGGAAGGCCGGTGTCCTGCAGAGTTTAGCTCCAACTTGCCTCAACACACCTGCCTTCAAGTTTCTAGTATGCCTAGTAAGAGCTTGATTAGCTGGTTCAGGTGTGTTTAATTGGGGTTGAAGCTAAACTCTTCAGGACACCGGCCCTCCAGGACCGAGTTTGGGCACCCCTGATGTATAGCATCTTAAAGTATATTTTCATCTAGCATGCACTGCACTATACCAGGTTTTGAATTAAGCTATACATTTTAGTAATAAAACGCTTACAATTTCCTCCTCTTGGCCTAGCGTTTTCAGGAATGACACCTCTCTTAGACCCCACTCTGGATTTCTGTAAAGCAAAATTGTTGAAAACGTTATGATAAAGGGTAAAATTGTAAGAGAACTTGTATTAGGATTTTTTATGTTATCCTTTGGGATTCAGACTGCAAAAAATTAATTGACTTTCTCAGTATTTGTAACGTTCCTAAAACATGATACATTTACTTGAAGCAAAATGATTATTAGGTCTATTAGATATTAAATCATAAATCTATTTATAGTTTATGCTTAAAACAAGAAAAAATATGTCAGTGAGGTGAGAAAAATAAACTTATAAACTTTTTGTTTGTTTATTTTAATGTTGATAGTTTTTTCAGAAACAATACATCTTAAGTCCTTTTTCATGATTTAATTTAAATTGATTAAAAAAATGATTGACTTTCTCAGTATTTGTAACGTTCCTAAAACATGATACATTTACTTGAAGCAAAATGATTATTAGGTCTATTAGATATTAAATCATAAATCTATTTATAGTTTATGCTTAAAACAAGAAAAAATATGTCAGTGAGGTGAGAAAAATAAACTTATAAACTTTTTGTTTGTTTGTTTTAATGTTGATAGTTTTTTCAGAAACAATACATCTTAAGTCCTTTTTCATGATTTAATTTAAATTGATTAAAAAAATTATAGATATTTGTATTGAAAAACAAGACAAAAATACTAAGAAGATTATTTTTTGGCGTGTAAGTCGATTAAAAATAACATTTCTGAGAAGTGCAGTGACCATCTAAACACACTATAAGTGCTGTATGTTTAGGCCTGTTTTTTTGTTTTTTTTGCAAGCATGTCTTTTCACACCAGTTCAATTATTTATTTTTTTTATCAAGAATCTTAGGCAATACAGAAGCTTGAGATACAGACCACAGCCTTTATCTCAAGCTTTGGTCAAAGTCAACATTGCTCTGAGGAGTAATTGATCCACTGAAAGCATAAGGCTGCAAAACAATATCAGATGCACGCCATTAGAAGCCAATAGATGTAACCAAATGCATAGGCCTACTAATTGAAGGTGTTTTAGCTTAACATTCTGCAAATACCATAAGTTAGAAGCAATCCTTGTGGCTTCAGTATTTTTCCAACACCATTAAACAAACCCTAAAAGAAGAGAAAAAAAATTTAGATTTAGTACACAGAAATTCAACAAACAGAGAGAGAGAGAGAAACAAAAGCAAGCTAGCTTGATACCGTTGTGCAGGCCAGAGGTGAGATGTGCATCATGTTGATGTTCACGATGAGGTCACATGACTCGGGTTGAATTCCACCCCAGTTCTCCCAACTCTGAGACACATCAAGATAGATGGATGGCTTTACATTCTGCAGCTTATGATACTGTCTATATGTCTCAATACTGCAATAAAAAAAATCCCAATATGGTACTTAAAATAAGTCATTAGACTTTTAGCATTCAATAGCAGGAATCAATTTATGGTATGCAGCCTAATCTAAAGAATGGTCAGGTGGGACTTTGAACTAACATTTAAGGGATAGTTCACCCAAAACTTACAATTCAGTCATTTCCTCACCCTCAAGTTGTTCCAAACCTGTATGAGTTTCTCTTGTGCTGAACACAAAATAAGATATTTTCAACAATGTTAGTAACCAAACAGTCGGCAGTAGCTATTGACTTCCATAGCATTTTGCATTTTTCTTTCCATAATATGGAAGTCAATGGCTTCCGACAACATTCTTCAAAATATATTATTTTGTGCTCAACAGTTGAAAGAAATTCATAGATGCTTGGAACAATTTGAGGGTGAGCAAATGACAGAATTTTAATTTTTTGGGTGAACTATCCTATAGCTCTGTCAGAAGTGTTGCCCTATACATTATTTCTGTTATTTTTAATTAATGAGTTCATTTATGAGAATTGACCCTCCCTCCATTTAACATGCACGTCCTTTTCCCAATGGTACAACTTGTTTTCAACATTTCTGTTGTTATTTTCTATTATTCTGTTAACCTTTATTATATGAACTGGTATCACCTAAATTATTATGTGGATATTATTTAACAATATTTATTAAGCCCGCGCGGCCTGCGTGATGTCAGCTATAAATTAAAATCAAAAAGTGGCGCAAAAGGTCGAATGAGACTGAATAAGCACCGCAAACGTTTGGAATCACTATGAGATTTTTAAGAGGAGTGAGCTAAAGATCTACAGAGAGTGTATAGAGTTGTCTGCTGTGCAACGGGGCTTCCACTTCTCTCTGGTCCAGTTTGTTTTCTACTTTGCACAAGCCCTGAAACAAGCCTTCATATCTTAAGAGAAAAATATACTAATGCATTTTTAAAGAAACCTGTTTCTTTTGTCAATTTTTGTACAAAACTGAACTTTAGTGAGGTGAGCTCGTGGTTGTGGTTTAGTTTGTTCTGTTTCAGCTTGGTGGTGTTAACTAGTATGACGTGTTGCAGTTGTGCACTAGTTTCTGCTTCTTAAAGCCTACTTAAAGTTGTCACCATTAAAACAAGAAAGCCATTTTAAAAAATAGCAAAAGAAAACAGGTCAAGCTCCAAAAAAGCACCAAAAAAAAGACATGAAGTTTCTTTCATTTGGGGATTTACTAAAGCTTTATTTAAAAAAGGTCAAAGACGAGATGTCCCATTTTGGTGTCGGCATCCAATTAAATGTACAAAAGTGATTCAATATAGCCAGTATAAGGCATATTAAATGCAAGTAAGTGTCTACTTTAATGTTTCAAATAACTTTTGTAAAAAAAAAAAAAAAGGTCAAAATATAGGTGAAATAATGTTCCATCTTCCTTCAGATACATTTATGTAAAATATATATTTTTAATATATATAAGTACAATTCAGAATAAGTGTTTTTTACACACACACACACACACACACACACACACACAAACACGTGTATACATATACGTATGTAATTATGCTAGATTTTATTGTATTTTGAATAATTAAAAACTTCTTGCTGACAAATGGGTGAAACCTAGTGGTTTGAAGGTTAGTGGCAAAGATGGGTAGATTTAATATTTAAAATGACAATTATTTAGTTTTTGGGGTCTGCACAGTAATCCTTAAATAGAGTCTTTTAATATAATCTAATGATTCTTGTAAATAATGCCTGACAAGATTATTTGGAATATGGACTACTGTTACAGTGAATGACATAGTGGGTGTCTTCTGTAAGTCATGGTAAAAATGTATGATAGTGATTATTTTTTGCTCAGAAAAAAAGTAAGTAAACCGCACACATCTCTAATGTACAGAACTAATTAAAATCTGTCTTAAACATTTATGTTTTGATGCTTGAAAAAACCCTTGCATCCAATTTCAATTTTCCTGGAGGTTCTGTCTGCAGATAGATTGCCGTTAAATTATTTTCTTTATAGGGAAGACGCATGCTTTACCATGCAAAGCTTTAGCTGACTTTGATCCTAGTTTCATTGCTTTAAAATTATCTCACAAATTCTGTAAAAAAAAGATTCTTTATCAGAGCAGGCCGCTGGAGATGACAGCCAGTCAGTCACCATATGAACTAATATACAGTTCTTTGCCATTTACTCATCAGTCATGACAGAGAGCACAGACTTGTCAACCTGAAAATGCAGTGAAGATTTAATGTCATAGATTTGTTCTTGAAAGAACATAAATGTACCCATGAATTCATAATGCATTAATTAACACATCAATTAATTAATCACATCAAACACTGATCTTAGTCTCATATGAACTCCCCATTAGAGTTATTTTGTATTTTGAGATGCCTGACAGGAACAACAAACTTCTTTAATGAGCATTTTTGTTTTTCCACACATGTATGATTTTAAATCAGCTTTAACTTCACTCACATTCACCGCAAATTCTCTGCTTTTATTTGTGTAATTGTTTCCTCAGCCTTTATAGGGGCACTTTTATAGCTATTTAAGTTTGTACCTAGAAGTTATGCAATCGCCTACTCTGCATAGTAGTAGGCTATACAATGTCTCTTAGCTGCAGCCAATGATATTCAGATATATTTTGATCAATACACATGGGTGGTGATTCATTTAATAAAAGATGAAGTAATAAAAACCCTAGTGTCAGACATACCCCATTATCATATTTAAAAGAAAAGACGCTATATAAAACTAACAGATAGGACTAAAACACAGATTTAATTTTCAGCCCAACATAAACTACAGAAGGTCTGGGCCCAGTTGCACAAAATCCCTTAAAAGCACAATTCATCCAAAAAAAACGAAAATCCTGTCATAATTTCCTTAATGAATTGGATGTTGTGCAGGCACGAGCTTTAAGAATATGTTTAGGGGCAATCAGAACTTCCCCAGTGTGTGCACTTCAGGTTGAAGCAGGTGAAATGCCTCTATGGGTACGAAGGAAACAACTGGTAGCCAACTTTTGGATTAATTTAAGAGGGCATGGGGAAAACCATCCAACGAAAAAGGTGCTACAGAATTGTTGGGAGAAGGAGAGGAGGAAAAAGGAAAGTTTTGGCTGGACAGGAGATGTATTAGCAAAAGAAATGGACATACGTATATGACAAAGAATTTGCTAGTACTGTGGTGTGGACTAACAAACCAATCTGGGCAATGGAAAATACAAAGGTGGACATAGAGCTTCTAATAATAACAGGCAGCAGTAGGAGTACAGATAGTCAGTGAATATTATAGATATATGGACAAAGATAGTATTCACATTTTTACAGATGGATCAAAGGATTTACAAACAGAGGCAACGGGATCTGCTGTATGTATCCCTAGATATCATGTGGGAGTAAACAAAAGAACATCTGACAGCTTAAGTGTGTATACAGTCGAGTTATATGCTGTATTAATAGCATTAGAATGGATTGAACAATCCAGATGGGACAACGTTGTAATATGTAGTGATTCTGTATCTGCCCTCATATATAAAGTATGAGGTAACTTGAAACCATCAGGAATTACTTTATGAGATTTTATTTACAAACTCAAGAATAAGCAGGCAAGGAGAAAACATCACATACATGTGGGTGCAATATTTTTTTACATTATAAATGTCTTTACTGTCCTTCATTTTTATTAAATTAATGCATCCTTGAAGAACAAAAAAATCATCGTACACTCTTAAAAAAAAGGTTCTTAAATGGTTCTTTGGAAGGGTGTATGGTTCCATGAAGAACCTTTCAGATCCAAAGAACCTTTCCGTTGTACAAAAGGTTCTTTGTAGTGCCAAATGGTTCTTTAGAACGTTTCCGTTGTACAAAAGGTTCTTTGTAGTGCCAAATGGTTCTTTAGACTAGGGTTCCTCACCCTCAATCACGTGACCTCAACCCTCAATCACATGTGACCTCATATTGTTGGAATAAGTTCCAGAATGATTTGATTGATTCTTAAGAAGAAAAAAAAGTGATACGAGGCACCCTATAAATAGCACAATGTCATTTGCACAGCCTATATCAGTGGTTTTCAATGCTGGTCCTGCGGGAACCCACAGCTCTGCGCATTTTATGGCTGCATCTGAAAAGTGAAAAATGCTGCCTTTGGTTCCAAGGTAAGGAATCAAGGCCCAAATCCAAAGTTAGCTTCACTTCCTGTCTCATGAGATACCTTCATTTGATTGATTTTTGAAGGCAGCATAGATGTATTCTTCGCTGCCTTTGATATCCCACAATCCTGTGTGTTCCATTCTGTGACGGTAGAGCTAAAAAATAAAGATGGCATCTGAAAGTTGCGTTTGGTGGTTAGTTTGTGTGTAAATATATATTTCTGATTAACTTTTTGCACTTTTGATGTTATTTCTAGCGAGAAATTAGTATTACAGTAATTAAATGTGTTTAGTTATCACCAAAACTCGTTCTATTTTGTTGTAGATCATTAAACTGTTACGCTGCCTCAGAAGCCTGTCCGAAATCAGTTTCATGAGGTGCCTTCGTGCAAAAACGCTGCCTGCAAAGTCATTGCCTCATAAGGCAGCGAGGCAGCAAGTCAGCTGCCTAAGTTTTCGGATGCAGCCTGTGTGTCTCCCTTATAGGAGAGAGATCTATGCACTTAACTGAGTGTGTCAGATAAGAGAGAAATACAAAATGTGGGTCCCCAGGGCCAGGACTGAAAACTGGCCTATTTGATTGATAGGAAACGTCAAGATATCTTGTCATTTCATATTAAAAATAAATATAAGTCTACTTCATGTAAGCACACAATATACCATCTGAGATAGAAGTTACGAAATTATGAAATTAATAAATTTCATGTAGTGTTTTAAATGCCCTCCTGTGTTCACATAGTCCTACTTACTGTTTAAAAACACACATACTGATTAGTTAAGTAATTATTGTCGTCCTAACAATATTAAATTATGCTGTTATTTTGTTTAATAGGCCTATGTGTTTTGAGTGAACCTGT